TAAATGTGAATAGTTCTTACCTGTTTTCTGTGTTCTGTTTCTGTGAACACAATGTGCTCATCATCACTTTTGTCACTGTAACTCTCTGCTGCTTCAATGGGAACACAGGTACTGTGACTGCTGGAAAGATCTTCATATTTCCTTGATATTGAGGAATGCTCTTCATTATGGTAATACTCTGTGCCAAAGCAATTGTTGTCTATGTATTTTCCAACATCTGTCATGGCATAATTATTATCCTCTATGTTTTTGCCAGAAATTTCTTCGGAAGTCTTCTTTTTGTCTGCTTTTCTGAGGCTTCCTTTCATTTTTCTACCACAAGGATCCAGAATTCTGTCTTTCAAAGACTTCAGGCCCTGGTGAATCTGTGCAAGGGTAATCTGACATTTAGTCCTTTCTCCAGATTCCTCTTGTCCTCTTGAGCTGTCAGTATCCAACAAATTCAGCAGCAGGGCAACGAACAAGTTGAGCACCTTGAAATAATTAAAGTAAGTTGGAGACACCACTGCTAACAGAAAAGTCACTTCAGAAAACCTCAGTCTTGCTTTCATCAACCACTGCCATGAAATTATTTACTTTTGTATTGCAATATTGTTATAGTACGATCTGGCCCCTTCTGGAAGGAATGGCAGGAGAGAAAGGAAGGAAGTGAGGGTTTGGGTATATCAAATATATTTTCACCTGCTCTGATGTCCATAATGTATGAGGAGATAGATATGTTGAAAAACAGCAAAGATGAATTTTAATAACACCACCATTCAAAAGGTTCTGGTATAGACCAATAAACCAAGCAGATGAAAAAGATTTTGTCTTCCAGTACATTTACATTCCATCTACTATATGTCATACAAACCAGAAAATCTGGGTGTGGTAAACTCTTGATAATAGAAGGACAAGTTGATAAGCATTAAAAGCACTGAACAGTTTGGTTATTGGATCCTACCAACACAAAAGATGAAGACATCAGACACCACATTATCAGAAGCACTGCACTTCTATACTGCAGGTAGAGGGAATATTTTTGTATTGCCTCTACCTCTTCTGTGAGAAAGAGAAAGACAGGGAAGAAGTAAAAAAAAAAAAGAAAGATAGAAAAAAAACATGTCAAGTGACATCCAGAAAAGAGAATAGTGTGAATACTCTTGAAATGATAAAGTTTGCCTCTGAAAAACTCAGTTGCCAGTGTAACTGGATGCATTCAGTAGGGACTGAGAATCAGCTTAAAACTCACCACCAGGTTTCCTATCACCAGGACTAGCAAGAAAATGGCAATACATTTCTGTTTTCCAGCCACTTCCATACATTCCCACATCATTTCAATCCATTCTCCACATAAGATTCGGAATACAATCAGGACTGAATGATAGAAATCCTTCATATGCCAGCGTAACTCCCCATTGGTGCTTATTTTTTGGAATTTTGTTTCATAATCACTGCCCAGAAGCTGCATTCCTAGTACAGTAAAAATAACTACAGTGATACACAAAACCAGAGTGAGGTTAGTCACAGCACTAGATGAGTTCAGAATTATTTTCATAAGAGTATTTAAGGTTGGCCAATACTTTGCCAATTTGAAGATCCTGATCTGTAAAATAAAACACAAGAAAAAAAGGTAAGGTCAAACACAGCCCAGACAGCACAGCCCACATAAAAACCAGA